ACCTCATCAGCCTGCAACTTAGGGCCCATGTGCTCAGGTCAATTGACCTGCAGATCTTCGTCGACATGACGCGGCAAGGGCGCCCCTTGAAGAAACGCCTCACTCGCGGAGAAGAAGGAGCTCGTGTCGTGCGCGACGCAGTTGCGTGAGTTAGAAGGAAAACGAGACGCGACGTGCAACCCGATCATGTGCTCATCCACGGCCAGCAACATTGCAAAAGGGCCCGACCGCATTCACTTCAGCGGCGTTGAGAAAATGGGTGGCAGGCGCGTCGCCTTGCCGGCATGTACCAGTCAATCAGTCCCCGGCCTCCGGCGAGCTTTATTAGTTGCCATCCTTGGCGTTCGAATCTCTACAACATGGGGGCATAATCGTCTCACAGCAGTGCAGCCAGAATCTGACCACGCATATACGCTGGGGCCAAAAAAAGTTTCGTGCAGTTTTGTGCTTGCAGTTGGAATCTTAAGCCGTAACAACCCAATACTTTTGAGCCCACAGCTCTCCAGCCTCTGTTTTTCTAGTGTTTGCTTCCCTCAGTCAAGACGTGACGTGTGACTTTTCTTTTATCTCATGCATGTTTTAACTTCTTCTTCGCATGCTGTGCACTTCATTGCTTCTGTAGCATGGGCTCGCACGAGCATACAACGCATTTGGCTCAAGGGCTCGAACGAGCATACAACGCATTTGTTTTCATGCGTGTCAGCAAGCTAGCAACGCACCCCGCATTTCAGCTTTGCATTTCAGCTTTGCATTCAGGCACTTCTCCTGCGCTACACGAACAGGTTAGATTAGCTTGCTGCCTTCGAACCATGGAGAGCCGCAATGACCACAGGTCGGACGCAAGCGAGCCCATCTTGGTCAGCGCTCAGGACCCTTCGCAGGCACCGCTCGCACCTATAGTGGCGCCTACAGCTTTCGCCTCAGGCTCTAGCTCAGACGCAGGCTATGCTGGCGCCCTGGCACTTGTACCGCATCAAGCAAGCAATTCCGCACGCGCCGCGCCGTATTCAGCCCGCTCACCCCCGCCTAGGCCAGTGTTCAGCACCGCGCCGCCCAGCATGGCAGACCTTTTCGCAGCAATTCACAGCATGCAGGGCTCAATTCACACCATAGAGAATAGCCAACGCAACATGCTTCGCCGCATGCAGGCTTTCGAACAAAGCCTCACTGAACTCGAAAGGCAAGTCAGCAACCTTGACCAACGCAGTGCAAGGCACATTGACGAACTGGAAAACAGCACGCGTAATGCACATGAGCGCATCACAGACGTGCAAGCAGACTTGCGCTTGCACCGCATCAGCAGCAACGAGCTCCAGGACATGCTTACGCAAGCAAACACAAACGTGGTCCAACTCCGCAGACGCCTGGGACACGCGCTGCAAGTTCTAGGGACGCACATCGCAGATTTGGATGACCCCACGCAGTTCCGACATGTCTTTTGGTATTCAGCTTGTTCCTTTCTTACTTACTGCCATGCCATGCCCTGACGCGCCGCAAGTTGCAGAGGCAGGGCTCGCATGCACTCACTTGCCGCAGGCTAGCTCCGCACTTTGAGCTTTTTTCCTTTCAGGACTTTCGCAGCCGCAAGCATGCTTTGGGTGACATCCTCAGCTCCAACTTTCAAGCCGCATGCTTGGCATCAACCTGCACCACGGCCAGGTCCTCACCGCAAGCAGGCTCGCAGTGCCCCATCCTTACACAGTTTGGGTACTTCTCGCACTCGCGCTCGCTCTGCCGCAAGCAAGCGCCCACCTCAGCTTAAACGACCGGCTCGCACTAGCTGGCCTTGAAGCTTGACGCGCAGCCAACCTTGCTTGTTTCGAAGCCAACTTGGCTCAACTCCCCAGCGAGCTGGGTTTTCTCGATTGCATTTGACAGGTCAGCAGTTGCACATCTACCTTCTAAGTACCCCCTTTAGGGGCCTCCCTTGGCATAAGCCACACCGTGGCCTTAATTGCTTATCCCTCTAAGGGATCATATAGCTCCTGCCGTACCCCATCGACTAATCTTTGCCTCTGCCGACCATGGATGCCTCACTGTCAGCCCAATCCGCACTGATCTGCTTTGCAAGCTGCAGCGACGAGGACATTGCCACAGCGCTCCGCAATCGCGCTGACCTCAGGGGCCGCCTGCGCGACCTCATCGCAAGCTCTTTTCAGCACCCAGCAGACGCATCGCAAACAGCCTCAGCGTCCGCAAACTGGCCAGATAGCCACCGCCCGGCAACTCCCGCACCCCATGCAGTTTTTGCAGCCCAAGCAGACCTCGCAAAGCAATAAGGGCGCTGGCAAGCAGAGCCCCGCGTCGCAAGGCAAAGGCCCTGCTGACTACGCACCGCAGAGCAGGCCACGCCCTTCATGGCACGACATGTCGCACGAGCCGCAGGCCTCCGACAGCAACTGGGACCAGACGCACTATACCGCGCCTCGACCTCACGCAGAGCATGACCCTTGGCGTCAGTCAAGCAACCCGCATCGCAACGCATACAGAGAGCCGTGGCCCACCGGCAGCCCGCTGGCACAGCATCCAGATTGGAACGTGCCGCAGGCACAGCAGCCTCGCTCGCCTCCCGCAAGCGACCAGGGGGGGGGAAGACCTCCCCCTGGTGCAAGCGCATCGCGCCGCGCCTGATAGAGTGGTGCGGCACTCGCCCGTATTTTAAAAACCATCGCAATAATTGGGCATGCGCCTACGCATGCACACGCGCCGCATGCAGGCATGGACGCCCCGCATGCAACTTTACGCCCTACGATGTCCAAACGGACATGCATTTTCCGCACGCCTGCAGTCTGTGCAAGGCAGATGATGCCGCAGGCAAGGGCAAGTAGCACCGCATGCACGCACTGCACTCGCACCCGCAAGCTGTGAGAAAAAAGGCCTCTCGCACTGAGCTGCCCTGCTTCCGCTTGAACCTTTAACTTGTTGCTAGCATTCTTGTCCTGCCGGCCCAGGTGCACTACGTCCTCAGCGCCGAGCTCAGCTTCGCACTCGCCTGCTTTGCCCTTTGTCTGTGCCCGCTTTAGCTTGCTAGCCTCTCGGTTTTGCGTCCGCAGTTTTGCTTCAAGATGGCACATGTTAATAGGCCCCCCTTGGTAGAGGAGGTCTTCAGCTCCCCTAGGATCCTGCCCTGGATTTTCCGTTTCTTGAACCCCGCAGGTAGATCTGACTTGCAAGCTGTGGACTTCTACTTGCATTGCGACTGCAGATGGTATGTTGCCCGTCTTCAGCCAGTCCTCGACTCCACCTCCAGCGAGGTCGAAGGAGGCAATTTGCTTGCAGTACGATGCGACCAAGCTATTGCGCACGCATGCCTGCAGGGCTGCCCACTGGATGTGTTTTGCCAGCCAACGCAAAGACTTAACTGCGGAGCTGGCAGATGTGCGATGCACCGCGCGGTCCTGCTCCGCGCTGCTGCTGCATGCGTAAAGAAAGTCAACTACGAGCGAGACAGGCAGTTGCTGCGTGGGTGCGAGGCAACTCCCATCCCAGCAGCGCTTGTCGCAGCATGGGAGCGCATTCTGTCCGCACCGCACGCACCCTTAACAACCAAATTAATTTTGGGCGCCGCGCTGCTCTGCGTCCATTCCAGCATCAGGTTCGGGGACGCACAACGCGTTCGCTGGCACACGCTCCAAAACCACTAAGGCAGGGCAACCTTTCGCATGCACCTGGCACGGCTACACAGGTCGCTCGGCAAGCACTTCTTGGCTGCTGCGCTGGTTGGCTTGCATCTCGTCGCTGCCAGCCTTCCAGCAGGACGCCAGTGGCCAGCCAGATTTCCTCTTCCCGCATGCAGACATGCAATGCCACGCCCTGCCTGCATCGCGCCCGCAAGCTACGCACGCACACCCTTATGCATCAGGTGGGCATCTCAATCTGCAGACATTTGCGGGCAGGCCGCGCTCACCCCAGATGAAGCTTCCGCCCTTACACTTCACAGCATGAAAAGCACCGCCTTGGCAAGCGCAGCACAGTTGGACCTTCGCAGGGACGAGCGCCTAGCGCAGGGCCACCAGCCCCCCTTTACTCTCGCAACGACACATTCGCCAGCCTCCGCGTACAGCGTGCAATTGCAACCTCCCTGGCCACAGGCTGGCGGCCACAGAGGTCCATGGCCAGGGGAGGCGCGCCGCCCATTCCCGAGCCTCCAGTGTTTATTCCCGCGGCACTGCCTCAAGAGCACCTTCCAGCAGGACATCGTCTCAGGACCATGGTCGCCCTTCGCCTCTCGGCGTGAGCACCTGCAAGCCTCGCACGGTCCAGAGCAGACACCGTGCGAGGATCAGGCGCCCAACTCTCCGCCCGCTTCGCCCGACTCCCCCGTGCTTCTGCAACCACAGGCCTCCTCACATGACGAAGAAGCCGGGCAAGTGGAGGAATGGGCCCAGCTGGAGCAGCTCTTCGTGTGCTCCAGCATGCGCAGCCCCACCCCCGAAGGCCTTGCCGCGTACAACACCTCCGCGCCAGAGCAAGGCAAGCCAGCAGTTCGTCTCCTCCAAGGCTGCGTGCGGCGCAAAGCTTGGCGCCGCCAGCTTTGCAATTTCATGTACAGATCCATTGGTGCCCTGCAGGCGCCAAGGCTGCCTTCAAGCAAGGGCACATACTCAGCAATCGGCGTGATCCCCAAAAAAAAACAAGGCTGTAGACTCTCAACTTGCACTCTGCCTTCCTTCCAGTTGACATTGCCCCCGCAACTAAGGTCCGCTACGAGAACACGTGCGCCTCTGGGCTGTCCTCGCTTAGCTGTTTCTGCCTCCCTCACCTTCACTTGGTGCGCCGCAGCCTTTTTCTCTCAAGCTGTGTGAACGGCCACCACTTTTTCCTAAACCATGGATGCGCCTTCAGACCTCGACACCAGGGAAGGCCTCATCTCTTTGATGCAAACACTTCAGGTGCCGGTGCCCTTGCAAGACGCACTAATCAACTCAGGCATCGCATGCATCGCAGATTTCGCATACGCGTACTCAGACGCATCAGACCTCAACTCTTTCATTGCCAAGCAGCCCGACGCCCTGTGGGAAGGCATGCCACTCACGGACCCAGAGCGCGCTAGACAGGTGCAAGTCTCACGCAAGCACGTTGGAGGCCGGCTCGGCCCCTGCACCAGCGCCCCCGCAAGCCAGCGCGCCTGCTGCAAGCAACGTCTGGGCAGAGCGCGCACCGCCCCGCTTGGACTCAGAAGCAGTCCAACGCATGCAAGCAAGCTTCCGGGCCAACTACCCGGGCGAGCACCTGGGCGCAGATGGCATGCCCAGCATTCGCCTGCTCAGCCTGGTGCACCAGTGGTTCGCCCCTAAGGGGGTGATCAAGTGGGTGCCATGGCAGCTTCGCATGAGCCAAAAGCAATATCAGGACATCATTGAGGCACGCACTACTCGCACGCTTCGCACCGAAGCGCAGTTGGTGAGCGCCGCATTGTTTGATGAGACGCCAGAGCTCAGCATCGATCGCGCGCACCTCAGCCCGCATGGCTTGCGCGCGCCCAGCAAATTTTTCGCAACGCAATCGCACTCTGCAACGGCGCACACCTTGCCACTCTTAAAGCATTTGACAAAAAGATCTTGGATCTTTGCATGCAACAGCTGCCAGCTGACACCGGCCTCCGCACGGTGAATACGCACGAACTCTTGCAAGCAGACCGCAAAATCTGGAACGAAGTCTCCGGCTTGCACGCAGAAGGGTGGACGCTGGACGAAGCACTGCATGAAATGACATGCGTAAGAGCAGACGTGCGCGCACTCCTGCAGCCCCGAGCGCGCCCTCCCATGCAGAAGGACGGCAAAGGTAAAGGCAAGCCTGGCAAAGGTAACGGCAAGAAAGGGGGCGGCAAAGTCCAGACGCGCCTTAAAGATGACGGCAAGGTCACGGCACTCGCAGAAGCAATGCGCAACCTACAGCTCAAGCATGGGAACAAGACGCTTTGCGTCCGCTTTAACAAGACGGAGTGCAATGATCGCAATTGCAAGTTCGCGCATCTCTGCGCCATCCGCCTTGCCAACGGACAAGCCTGCGGGCAAAGGCACCCCGCAAGCCAGCGCCGCTTCAAGTCGCAGGCAGACAAGCCCAGCGCCGCAGAACCTCCTGCAGCAGCGCCTGCAACCTGACAAACGCAGGGGGATCTAAGCAAGGGGGACCCTCGCAGCACGCCAAATCCCTTGCCGCAACCCGCGCCTCTCGAGTCAGCAACGCAGGGAAACATCCCGCCCTCCAGATAAGAAGGCTTAGGCGACCCTAACCCGCACTCCCCTAACACCCCCTGCCCACCCGTGTCTGCAGCAGGGCCCCGCGTAAGGGATAGGCAGCCTTCACGTAGCCCCAGCATCAGCAGCACTAGCGCCACGTCACACCCAGGCACAGAACACAGCTCCACACCACAGCCTAGATCACGCACGCCCATGCCAGCACGCAAGCCTGCGCAGCAACCTCGCCTTTTCTTAGACCTGTTCTCGGGCCAGCATGCGCCCTTGACGCATGCTATGGAGCGCCTAGGCTGTGACTGCTTCCATCCCTTCGACATCGCATTCGCACCAGGCCTGGACATACTGGACGACTCGCGCTACCGCCTGCTCCTGCGCGTCGCCTGCAGCGGCATTGTAGGGGCCGGCTGGTCAGCACCGCCACGCAAAGCGTACTCACGCCTCAAACTCCGCAAGCCCGGCCCAAAAGCACTACGCACTCCTGAGTTTATGCAAGGAGTCCCAGGCCTCTCAGAAGATGAGCTCCTCCGCGTATCGCAAAGCGCAGAGGTACACGCGCGCAGCCGCAGGGTCACCAGCTGCATCCGCGAAGCAGGCCTGGAGCAACCTCCCTCCTCGATGGCTTGGCTGGAGGAGGACAATGTCACCCTGCTGCGCGAGCTCTGCGCACACTGTTCGCACGTGGCGGCATGCGAGCACGGCGTGCTATTACAAGTCCTGGGCCTTCTGCGCAAGCTTCGCATCTATTCGCACTCTGGCATGCACCTGCCGCCGCCCTCCAGGCGCGCGTAAGTCCATTGCAGGCCTCAAGCAAGGGAACATCCATGTCAACGCACTGACAGCCGAATATCCAGACAGCCTAGCCGCAGCCTTGGCAATACTTTTGCAGCCTTTCTGCACTCAAACAGGCATTCGCAGAGCCAGCATCTCTGACTTCGCCAACCTGCTCTGCGAGCCCGTCATACACCGCCGACCTCCGGTATGTGACGGCGCCGGCTTCAACAGCGCAGCAGACCACACAAACCCCAAAGCCGGCAGCCCGTTCCAAGATCTCATTCAGCACTGGCAGCAATACGCCTCTCAGCATGACCTCTCTCCACACATCCTGCATCACCTGGCGCAGGGCATCGACTCGCATCCGCTCACACAGCAACAGCAGCTAGACCTGGCAGAAATTGCACACAGATGCCTGCGCCCTTCCTGTTCGCAGGCAGACTGCCTTCTCGTGACTCCCGGCCAACCTTTCCGTCTCAACCTTCTGCAAGCCTTTGCCGCACGCGTGCAGGACCCTGACGCACAACTCGCGGACCTGCTGAAGCGTGGCATTCCGGCAGGCATCCTTGACGACATTCCGTCCAGCATGCAATGGACGCAGCGCCAGCACGACCTTGATGATGATGACCTAGAAGGAACACACTTGCTGCGCTGCCAAGGCAACTGGACGCAGGCAGAACGCAATCCAGTCCTTCTCCAGCAATTGGTCGAGCAAGAGGTAGCCAACGGTTGGGTGAAGCCCTTCCCCGCAGGCCGCAACGCAGTCGCACAGCACTGGCCAGCAGGCTCCGCAATAGGCAAGCTCAACATAGTGACAGCAGAGGGGAAAGAACCGCGCCTCGTCCTCGACAGCACGGTGTGCAACGCCAACATCGCATGCAGGGTCCCAGAAAAGGTCAGTTTGCCTTCTAACTTGGATGTGCACCGCACTTTCAGCAGTGACGACGCATTCGGGCAATGGGTCGCATTGTCACTGGACTTCAAAGCCGCGCATAAAAGCATTAAAGTGCAAGCCAAGGAACATGGATGTTTGCTCTTCGAAGCCGCAGGCAGGCTGTTCCATTACGTCGTCTGCCACTTTGGCGCAAAATTTAGCGCATATTGGTGGCAAAGAGCAGGCGGCCAAATGCTCCGCATAGTGCACGCACTTCTGGCAACTTTCAGCCACCGCGCATGGTTGTACGTGGACGACCTGCTAGCACTGCTTTGCCGGCACAGCATGCCACAGCAGGTGACCATCATCACCTTCTTCCTTTCGTGCATCAGCGCTCCCACTAGCTGGAGAAAAGCACAGCTCGGCAACATCGTCACATGGTGTGGCTGGACACTCCACACAGATCTGGAGTCATCGCACCTAGCCATAGGCAAGCTCCGCAAGCTGCAAGAACAACTCGAGAAGTTGGCATGCTCCAAGAAAATACCTCGCAAGCATCTTGAGCGCGCCCTCGGCCGTCTCATGTGGGCAACGAGCACGCGCACGCACCTTAGGCCATACGTGGCCCCTCTCTACAAAGACCTGTACAGCGGGCGAGGCACGCTGCAGCAAATACACGCCAGGGACTGGCGCCGCCTCCTTGATGCACTCAGCCCAGACGCAGTTGTGCAGCGCCAGCCACTGGGCATGTGGCTCACCACTGGCGCGCAGCTCACAGAAGTGGGATCCCAAAAGATCCAAAGCAAAGCAGACGTTCCCAGGGTCGTCTCTTCCGCAAAGCCGCAGTGGGTTCGCATGTCAGACCCCATGCGCAACGAAATACACCTCAGGAATGAAAGCCGCGCTGCACTGCGCTGGCTTTCGTCCTGCTTCTCGCACGACCAGCTGCGCCTCATTCGCCAAGCACCGCAACTGCACTGCATGGCAGCGGCAGACGCTATGGCAGAAGGCTCCACGGTCGGCGTTGGAGGTTGGATAAGCACATCGCAAAGCTTTGCATGGTTTTCAGAGCAATGGGACATGACAGAAGTCCGCAAGCACTGGCCGCAGCTTACTAAAAATGCGCAAGCACACATTGCATGCTTTGAGACGCTCGCTCAGCTCGCTCTCGCAATGACCGCAGTGGCACGCATGCGCACAAAGCATTTCCGCTTTACCTTGCCAGCCGCTTCGGACAACACCTCCGCAGAATCAGGCATCAACCGCCTTTTCACCACAACAGAACCGCTCAGCACTTTCCTGCAAACAGTAGCCGCATGGTCAGCCCATGCCAACGTGCGCCTCGCACTCACACACCTCGCAGGAGAAAAGAATGTCTGGGCAGATGAGCTCAGCCGCAATCGCACCGCAAGATTTCAGCACAGAGAGCACGAGCGGGAGCGCATCTCCCTCGCCAGCCTCTCTTCGCCTAAGAGTACTATCACCCTGCGCCCTCAACAGGCCGCCTGGCCCGACGAGCTAAGACAAGCGCAATACCTCCGTGACGCAGTCGATGCAGAAAAAAGCGGATGTCCGCTTCTTGCACTTACACCAAGTGATCACGCCTCTAGCATACTGCCTGCAGGTACCCATGCTCCTCTGACGCGGAAGGGGCAAGCAGTGAGTCGGCGCACAGAGTTGCACGGGAACCTAAAGTAGGGGTTTCAGTTCTGTTTCCGCACCGAACATTTCCCGTGCAACTCGTGCCAAAAAAGAGGATCTTGTCCGAGTGTTGTGCAGTGAGGGCCATGCGTAAGAAGCAATGTTTGAAC